TTTCGGATACTCAATATCACCAATGGAGATGCTCTTAAGGGCAGACTCAGGGTGACACAGCTACAACTACTACAAGAGTGCTTTTTTTTTTTTTTTTTCAAATTGAGATTAAGTTTACTTTTTAGCACAAGTGCAGTATATACAAATGTACACAGTGCAGATATAACCATATGAAAAGGCGAAAACTTATCTTTAACCTCTCATTTTATCAAGTTTGAAGGTTTTAATATTTTACTTTATATTATAACACTTTTAACATTTCACCTTACTAGATTGGTAAGTTTTAACCTCTCATTTATTAAAATTATAGAAAATAACTCTTATTTTATACTAACTGTAAACTTTGTTAACTTAAAGTAAGTTTTTGTCAATTAATAATCAATTAATAGTCAATTAATAGAATGAACGAAATATTATAAAATTAATTATGTTAATTCTATTAGCTAAAAGAAGGTTTTTATCAATTAATAGTCAACTAATAGTTAGCTAACAGAACTAACAAAATGTTACAAAATGAGGACTATTTTTTTTAAATTTTAATAGGTGAAGTGTTAAAAGTGTCATACTATAAAGTGATAGGCCAAAACCTACAAATATAGTAAGATGATGGGTTAAAAATGTTACAGTATAAGGTGAAGGGTTAAAATCTTCAAATTCAGTAAGGTGAGAGGCTCAAAGTTGGCTTTTGCCCATCTGAAAAAACCTAGAAAAAACTCACCATTTGTGGGAGTCGAAACCACAACCTTGAAGTTGAGGGGCAACAACCTCTAGTTCCTTAACCACATTATAAATATAAGTTTACCTTTTTCGTTTTAAATTGTATTCCATTTTAAGAATTTGTACTTAATAAATTTCTCATCCGATATTTTTATAGTTGAGTGCAAAACATCTAACTTTCTAAAAGAAAAACTATAACTGACTTTTTAAGTTATTGGCAGATTGAATTATTCGCTTAAATTAAAAATGACTCTAATGAATAAATGATTAAAATTTGGGCAAAAAGTAAAATATCCTTTATTTTTGAAACTCCCCAAATGTATGACTAAAACAATAGATAGTACAGAACTAAAATTTTTAGATTTTTCAAACTTTTATCCCTGCCCCAGGTTGCCACTAGAGATGAATTTATGGTAGGTAGATGCTGCCGCTAAAATCCATAATTAATTAGTTATGTATGGTTTCTATTTCACAATAGGCAGCTTGATCTAGACCTTAATTAATAGCAAAATCAACAGAGCGAAGCAAATTTAGTTACCAGGTGGTTTGGCGTTCGCGATCGGGAGTTGCGGCCACGAGAGGCTGTTCACTGGCCAGGGATGGAGAGAGATTTGATAGGGCTGACAGGCAGAGGAGAGGAGCTGTGCAGGAATCCAATCTATCGAGACTGAGCTTTTATATGTTTGTGTTTGGTAGGCATTAGGGTTTTTCAACTTTTTTAGAAGTCGTTTTTATCTTCTTTTTTTTTTTTTATAAAAAAAAACTTATTTGCCAGTTAGATAATAAGAAACAGTCCCCATTTTATTAGACATCTTATTCACAAATATCAATAAGTTAAACTTAGATAATATTACTCCACTTATACAAGATGTACATAAAATAATTAAATATAAAAATTATGCATGTAAATTTCAATAAATATTTACATCTTATTTAAAACCAATTAACATAAGAGGTTATTCGCCAACAAAGGATAGAGAGAGATTTAAGAGGGCTAACTGAGGAGAGGAGAGGAGCTGTGCACGAATCCAATCTATCGAGACTGAGCTTTTATATGTTTGTGATTGATAGGCAGAAGAGTTTTCTCAACCTTTTTTATAAGTCGTTTTTATTTTTTATTATTATTATTATTTTAATTTTATTTGTCAGTTAGATAATAGGAAACACTCCTTATATTATTAGACAGCTTATTCGCAAATGTCTATAAATTGAACTTAGAAAATACAACTCCACTTATACAAGATGTTTAAAAGGTTTAGATATACATAAAACAATTAAATATAAAACTTATACATGTAAATTTTAATACAAGATTTACATTTTATTTAAAACCAATTAACATAAGAGGTTGTTCGCCAGGGAGGGCTAACCAACAGAGGAGAGGAGCTGTGTAGGAATCCAATCTATCGAGACTGAGCTTTTATATGTTTGTGTTTGGTAGGCGCAAAGGGTTTTCTCAACTTTTTTTAAAAGCCGTTTTTATTTCTTCTTCTTATTATTTTTTTTAATTTTATTTATCAGTTAGATAATAAGAAACACTCCTTATTTTATTAGATATCTTATTCGCATATGTCTATAAGTTGAACTTAGAAAATGCTACTCCACTTATACAAGATGTTTAGCAAGTTTAGATATACATAAAATAATTAAATGTGAAAGTTGTGTATGTAAATTTTAACATAAGTTTTGTATCCCACCTAAATTAATTGACAATAGGTGAAATAATATTTCTTTTACTTAATTCACATACTTTTTCATTATATATTAGATGTGGGATTTTCCACTCGACACTCTAAATGCATGCTCTTGTGTTGGCCAGTGGCCACTTTGTAGCACTAATAGTTAGGAAGCATGAGCACGCCCTACTCACCCTAGATGGTTGTAAGAGATTAGTGACATTTTTAGCATCTCAAACTAGAGTTGACTTGCAATTTGGATAAGGTGTAATAATTTGTTTTTTATTTGGGATGAAGAGGATGAGGATTTTATGATGACATCTCTTGCAGGATTTTGTTATGTCTTGGATAAAGGGAAATGTAATGGGTCTTTACGACTTCTAGGGTTGATGCTCATGTTGGGAAGGTTCGTATTGAGCTTGATGGGGTTGTATCTTTTATGAAAAATGATTGGTACATTCTTTAATTTAATACATTTATCAATACTCACCAATCGACTTAATTATTGAAATTTGTATTTAAAAATTTTTTAACTTTGAATTTGAATTTGAAAATCATAGTTTTTTAATAAATGTATGTGGTAGAGTGTGTGTAACCGAAAAGTATGCCAATTACTATTCTTTATAAAAGATTATTAATATATTTTCTAGTTCAACACACTTATTAGCACCCAACTCAACTATTAAAATTTGTACTCGAAAATTTTTCCACTTTGAATTTGAATTTAAAAATAATATTTTAAATAAATATATATAAACTATATTAAATCAAATGGTGTATTAATTATTGTTCATCTTCTGTTCTCCATTTAGATATTGAAGCAAAGGTGGTGATAGAAGCGTTATCATGGGCATGGTTACTTCACTCTTATTTTTTGCCCAAAAGATCTTTAGGTTTCTTATTATTGTAGTTTTTCATTTTTCCTTTGAGCCTCAAGTGAAAATTGTATCTTTGCCAATAACGGAAATAGTGCATGTTGGGTTCCCTATTTTTCTTTTTGCTTAAATTTGGCTCCTTAGGTCCTGTGATTCTCTCTCTTTATCTTGATGTTTTCAGCAATTGGGGATTTAACCTTCTTAACCCTGTAAATCAAGCAACATAAATAATTCTATAGAATTATTTATGTATTTACCAAGCTCATGATGAAAAAATATATGAAAATTAAAAAAGTTAATTAACCAATAAAGTTTTCGTTTATTTTACAATTTAAATTGTAAAATAATAGTTAATAGATGGAGGAGATAATCCTAATATTAAAAAACTTATTCTCATCAAATAATTTAAGTTGTGTAATTTATTCAAGTTCAAACTAAGCAACAAAATTTGGTAACCAATATCCCTTCAACTTTTAATTTCCTTGACAATTTCCACTCCATATACTATTACATACTCTCAATCTATAAACAAACTGAAAATGTTAAGAAAACAACTTCCATGTGATGATATCATCATTCAATGTTTTTGTACAAAAAATTCACACCCCTATTTAGCCAAAAAAAATCTACACAATAATTTCTTAATTACTTTCAAGTTATAAACGAACATATGTATTTGTTTAATTTATTCACACAACCAAAAAAAAAAAAAGATTTTTCATAGGTCATGAATTCTCAACCATGAACACTACTCTCACCAGCTACTATCGAACTATAAACTTAACTAAAAATGTTAAGAATAAAACAACTTCCTTGTGATATCATCTTTAAGGATTAATCTGGATATAACTACCGAAACTTAAGATACGTTTTTGTTTAACCTACTGACTGAAAGAAATAGGTTTTTCATAAATCATGAACTCTCAACAAGTTTCAACCTGCAAACACTCCAAAATGTGTTATAATGCTTATGTGTGATGCATCTAGTTTATACCTATTTAAGGACACACAATGTACAGAAATAAGAAAGCTAGGAAAAAACAAAAGAAGAATCCAAAAATTTTGAATGATGGCATTTTTCCCGTCTTTCCCTTTCTTAACTCTAGGCATAATAAACTTGGTAGCCATATTTACCACAAGAATGGTGGCCTCTAAACCTGTGATCATTAAACTTACCCACCGTGATTCGATCCATTCTCCGTATTACAATCCAAAAGAGAGTATCATACAGAGAATGGAGAATGAAATCAAAACTTCAGCAGATCCCTTCCAAGCTCTACCACCAGCAAATGATAGTATCCAATTTCAAATTTTTCCTAGTGATGACAAGTTGTTCTTAGCAAATTTTTCCATCGGCCAGCCGCCTATTGTACAATTTGCAGTAATGGACACTGCCAGTGGCCTCCTATGGATTCGCTGCTTCCCTTGCAGCGAATGTTCTCCGCAGAATGTATACCCGGTGTATGACCGTACCAAGTCCTCCACCTATGCTAACTTATCGTGCAACTCAGATTACTGTAAGCTGAGCCGATACAGGTGGTGCAATGAAGACAACAGTTGTGGCTACAAGCAGGGTTATGTTAGTGGTTACTCAATTGGAATCCTTGCGACAGAACAAATGATGTTCTTAACATCTGATGAAGGCATAGTCTTCGTTCCTAATGTGGTATTCGGGTGCAATCTCAAAAGTGGTGGCAGGTTGTT